TGCAAAGAAAGAACACTCCGCATAATGTGAAACCATAATCACAACATTTGTTTAATGTATGGTTGCACTCACATGTAAGCAAACATCATTAAGCATTGATTGGCAAAAATCCAAATTTTCCAGTTTCCAAAATGGCCGCCGGCCGTTCGCACATGCTCAGTAGTGTGTGTGCATGGCTCCACCCAATCAAACCTAGGCAGATTTATCCATCCCTAGACACCATATACCAGCTTTTCATGAAACCCTAGCATTCCTCTATAGGTTACTAGAGTTTCCTTGACCAATGAACAATTTCTGCCTTTCAGATAAGTTACCACTGTAATGGGGCACTTCTCCATTGACCATCGATGTAAAGGGGACTTTTCCAAGTTACCATCAATCTAAGAAGGCTCTTCTTCCCTGCTCATCAATTTAAAACAGCATTTTACTCACTATAAATGTAAGGGAGCACCAGCACTGATCACTAAATCAAGGGAGCATTACAATATTCATGGTCTGCTATGACCAATATTCATCGGCCTAAAAATAATTTGTGTTATAGAGCTGAATATACAAAGTACCCACATTCCTTCTTCATATATCCATAGCTTACTGTTCACGCTACTTTCCCATGAACAGTAGATACAATAAGTATTAGCATGGGTTCCCTGAGGCCTAAAAGCAATATCAAGGGTTCTTCCATGCTAAATAGGTTGTGAAAGGCTGCTATACTCACTCATCAGTCTTTGAAGGAATTCTATTATGCAGTAATAAATAATGCTACCTACATAGATGCCAAAGCAAAAAAACATTATTTCAATTATGGAGCAAAATCTGACAGATGTAATATGGTCTTTGACCTTTAAAAAGTCATTAGGAGCCAAAAGTGACAGAGACCAAGATTGAAAATCTTGTTTTCTAACAAAGCCCAAACACATACAGTTTATAGTTATAGCTAATGAGACATTGCTTATACATGCAATTGATTTTCCAAGCAGCCATAGATTTCTACTGTTACCCCAGGGGCCACCAGAAAACAGCATGCATCAGTGCACTTGCATCCTCTGCTGGATTTCAGCATGTATAGCTAGTACAGGGTCTAATTTTCCAATAATTTTCTTTGTAGTGAGTTAAACAAACCTGATGGAACAAATCTTTGCCACAAAATATGAGGAGCCACATTTCCACCTGGCTTCCAAGTGTCAGGCATAGATCTTATCTCACATTACATTCAAACAACAAACAAAGGAGATTTGCATGGCTGAGTTCTTATTAACTACAGTATTGTTTTGTACCCTTATCTCTATATAAGTAGGGTTGAACCAATGCCATTACTTTTGCACAAGTATTGGTACCTGCAATACCTTCAAGATCGGTTCTTTCAGCTGTCAGTTGGATTCCCCTGCTGACAGATGAAATGTAAATTAGAAAAAACAGCATTTCCCAGTTTTTAAGGGGCAGTCCTTAACAACCCATGACTCATTCAACTGTCAGTGGGGTTCCCCTGCTGACAGCTGAAATGCAAATTAAAAAAAATCCGACATTTACCAGTTGTTAAGGATCAGTCCTTACCAACCAATTACTTATTCAACTGTCAGTGGGATTCCCCTGCTGACAAATGAAATGTAAACTAAAAAAAGCCGGCAGTTACCAGTTGTTAAGGGGCAGTCCTTAACAACCCATGACTCATTTAACTGTCAGTGGGGTTCCCCTGCTGACAGCTGAAATGCAAATGAAAAAAAATCTGACATTTACCAGTTGTTAAGGAGCAGTCCTTACCAACCAATGACTCATTCAACTGTCAGTGGGGTTCCCCTGCTGACATCTGAAATGTAAAAAAGTCCCAGCAATTGGAACTGTCAAAAAAAAAAAAAAGAAAAAGCAGCTTGACAATGTTTATCAACAACATTGCTCAGCCACTAAAACAGAAAGATAAAAATAAAAATTGTTTCATTTTGTATCTTTCTGTTTATCTACAGATCAAAGGGGATGAACTTTGATCTGCAGATGAAGTAAATTAAAGGCAACCTGTCAGTGTTACTGACGTGGAATGTGTATCTGCTAGGTTTGGTCGATCCTCTGGCACATCGCAGGGCCTCAAGAACTCTAATTGGGATTTTATCGTTTTATGCCAGGAAAGCTATTGTGCTAAAATGGAAGTCTCCGACTGCATCTACTCATAATTTTTGGAAAAGGTTGGTCAATTTAAAGTGTTACTAAACCCAGGTCACTGCATTTACTATATCTGGTCTCCCACGGTACACACAACATGGAAATGCAATTATTTTAGTAAATATAAACTGCTAAATACCTTTTCTCATCAGAAGTTAGAGCAGTCTTGTGACTTCTATCTGTGTCCAGACCATCACTAGCTAAAGCTTGTAGGAGGAGTTTTCTTTCTGTTCTAGGAGGATGGAAATCCCCTAACCTCTGTCTCGACAGTGTTGATTGGCCCTGTGCTAATCACATGCACTCTCCCAAGTAAAAAAAAAAAACCCGTTCTAGCAATACACACCAAATGAGCATGCGCATGCCTACGGTTCAGTCTGATATAAGAGGTGGTCACTTGAAAAAGGGGAGGAACAGAAAAGAAAGGATCAAACAGCCTTTTTACACAATGCAGAGGATTAACCCCTTAGGTTCCACAGTGAGTATAACAAGCATGTTTTACTGCATATACAGACTGATTTTACTGTTGTGGGTTTAGTAACACTAACTCATTCATTGTAAAAGGCTACCTATTTATCATGGGGTTACCCCAAAAATTTCATATGGATATTTGGGTGGACTCTCCATCCACGAATGCAGATCCTGATCCTTCTGCCTGTTGGTTTAATATATGATGTTTGGTGACCCTTGTGTTTTTATCGATGTCACATTATTTCCATAGTTGAGATGGTGACTTGACAGCAGGGGCGGACTGACCATTTTGGAAACTCGGGCACTGCCCGAGGGCCTGGGGTCAGTAGGGGGCCCCATGAGATGTCCCTGGTATCTTTTTCATAGGCTTTTTAGAGTTTGGGCAAGGACACAGGGGCCCATGATCCCCTATTGCCCAGGGGCCCCATGAGTTGTCAGTCCGCCCCTGCTTGACAGTGTCCTTTCTGTCTACCTTATTCTGGTTATATTTGACCATGATGTCTCTGAGCCCTACCATGCTATCTTGAATCCTACATAGTGGATGAGCTTACCCCTCCCTTTTATTTATTTATTTTTGTCAGTGATTCCGTTTTATGGATTTTTAAGATTTTGTTGTTTATGTCTAGTGCCGAGCATGGAAATGCCCATTAGGCTCTGTTTTGTATTTTACCCTTCTCTAAAACTGAATAAATAGAATTTGCAAAAAAAAGCAACCTGTCAAGTAAAAAAAAAAAAAACAATTTTTTTTCTAATTAAATGTTCCTCTGTTTAACTTCTTATTAACCTTTAATTTATTCTAATCAGCCCTAATTAACTCTTTATTCTCCTTCTCCATCTAAATATTATTTTCCTGCTGATTTTTTGTTCATTTCTACTTCATAAACTATTAATAATAAAAATATTTTTTTTTGTATTCTTTGCTTCGTTAATATTTTTACACGTTTAACATATATTTTCAGGTTTCACTTTGAAAAAAAAAGCACAAAATTGAAAAAAAATACATTTATTTCATTTTAAATAACTTTTTAATACTTTATATCAGAATAATACTTTTAGTGTAATTTTAAATAGGACAAAATTACAGAATAAAATGGGTAATTCTTTACTTCTTATGTGCAGTAACACTATTTATTTTTAAACTAACACTGCTCAAAACAGTGACAGTGCTTTTTTTAGTTTTGCTACATTCAATTGTCTATGGATTGTTAAAAAAATATAATTTTGCAAGACAATCTTCATGAAAAGGAAGCCTTGTTTGTCCTTAAAAAACAATATATGTATTACTTTTATCTTAAGTAATGACAAAGTTATCGCCGAATAAACAGGTCCATAGCAGAAATGTAAAAATTGCTGTCGTTCATAATGGGTGGACAGGTGTGTGAGGCGAAGTAGTTAAGGAGTGGGGCTGCCTTGTCCTTAACAACAGGGTTCCCCTGTTGGCAGCTGAAGTGTAAACAAAACCTTTGCCAGCAGGTATCGATAATTGGTAATGGTGAGTACAAAAAAAAAAAAAAAGCATCAGTGCTTGTACTCGCTGTAAAAAAAAATGGTATCAGTGCATTCCTACATATAAGTATAATACCAATTCTAAAAAAGACAACAGGATTTTACAGATATTTCATGGACACAATATATTCTTTAAAATCTCCAATCCTATTGTTCTAATCTTTTATAAAAAAAAGTCCACTTCAATACCATTCATAAAATCTTCTTATTCTTTAAGAAGTATGCAAAAAAAAAGATAACACATTAAAAAAAAAAAAACCCAAAAATACTCATAAACAACTTTATATATATCTACAAAAACATCTATGCACAAGAAGAGGAAGAGAAAGGGGGAAGTAAAATATATATTTTATTAATAATGAAACCAAATATATATATATATATATATATATATACATACATACACTTTCCAAGATAAGTGGTCAAATTCACTTATAAGTGTACCCTTTATTGGTAAACAAGTAGGGGAGTATGTCCTTTCATTATTAATAAAATATATATTTTTTTTTCTCCCCTTCTCTTCCTAAAAGTTGTTGTTTTTTTCAGTATCTAACATGTTTTATGTTTTTCTAAATTTGTACCTTTCTAACATTATTTCAGTGATCGACGGTGTCTATATTTAAGATCTAAGGTCCTGATGAAGTGGGTCATCCCGTGAAACACGCTGACCTACATTTATTGTTCTCTGAGGACTTCCATGTTATAGTTCCACTATTCATTTATGTGGAAGACAAGTGGTAGAGTTGATGTCCTATTCCAGGGGTATTGAATTAAACTTCAAGGAGGAGCGGTCACTAAAATTTTCTTCTGGCCGAGGTCCGAATAGGGTGTGCCCACTTACATTAGGTGTCGCCATCAGAGTGCAACTTTACATCATGTATTCCCATCACATCAGGTGTGCCCATCAGAGTGCGCCTTTACATCAATTGTCCCCATCAGAGTGCCCCTTTACATCAGGTATCCCCATCACATTGCCACCTTACATCAGGTATTCCCATCAGTGCCCCCTTAAACACTCAAAGTACTCCTTTCTATCATATTTCCCCATCAGAGTGCCCTTTTACATCATATTCCCCATCAGAGTGCCCCTTTCCATCACATGTGCCCATCAGAGTGCCCTTTCCACAATATGTACCTATTTGTGCCCCCTTAACATAAAATGGGCCCATCAGAGTGCCCCTTAACATAAAATGTATCCATTAGAGTGACCCTTAACATAAAATGTGCCTGTCAGAGTGTCCCTTAACATAAAATGGGCCCATCAGAGTGCCCCTTAACATAAAATGTATCCATTAGAGTGACCCTTAACATAAAATGTGCCTGTCAGAGTGTCCCTTAACATAAAATGGGCCCATCAGAGTGCCCCTTAACATAAAATGGGCCCATCAGAGTGCCCCTTAACATAAAATGGGCCCATCAGAGTGCCCCTTAACATAAAATGGGCCCATCAGAGTGCCCCTTAACATAAAATGGGCCCATCAGAGTGCCCCTTAACATAAAATGTATCCATCAGAGTGCCCCTTAACATAAAATGTGCCTGTCAGAGTGCCCCTTAACATAAAATGTGCCTGTCAGAGTGCCCATTAACATTAAGGGGCATGCTGATGGGCACATTTATATTAAGGGGCACTCTGATGGGCACATTCTATGGTGTGCCCATCAGAGTGCACCTTAACAATAATTGTGCCCGTCAGAGTGCCCCTTAACATAAAATGTGCCCATTACAGTAGAGTGCCCTCGCCCCTTAACATAAAATAAGGGGCATGCTGATGGGCACATTTTATGTTAAGGGGCGAGGGCACTCTACTGTAATGGGCACATTTTATGTTAAGGGGCACTCTGAGGGGCACATTTAATGTTAAGGTGCACTCTGATAGCACATTTATATTAAGGGGCACTCTGATGGGCACATTCTATGGTGTGCCCATCAGAGTGCCCCTTAACATTTAATGTGCCCATCAGAGTGCCCTGTAAGACTACACCCTACCTTGAGGGCAGACAGGAACTGTGCCGGGATCCTTGCTGGACGCTTGTGTACAGGCAGGGAGCGGGAGTCAGAGAGACAGTGAGCTGAAAGAGGCGGGGCTCACACGTGATGCCATGCTGCCGTGATGACCGCCCTGCTCAGCGGCGGATCTGTCATTACGGGCTGGCGGTCCGGGCGGCAGTGCTGCTGAAGCCGTTCGTAGACCGTGGTCCGCCATTTAGTGACCAGTGTCCTATTCTAAACTATTTATGTTTTTTAACTAAATGTGTCTTTAAATTTATAAAATAAAGACATATAAATTCTGTTAATATTTTTTCGTGTGTATACTTGACCATAGTAGGGGTGTTTAAAGTCCCATAACATGTATCTTTTTCTATTATCCAGAAGCAGATAGAGTTAGGCCCTCATATTGACTATTCATGTGTGCATGAATCCCATTATCTATGCCCCCCTAACCTAATGCTGGTTGATAAAGGATTCCATGAACAATTTTCTTTTTATTCTTTTACATTCTGTTTCCCGTGAATGTTTCTTTACGTAGGTGGATGTACATCTCCTGTCCCTAGTGTGGATTTGACATTTGGTTGACTTGGGGCAAGTCAGAGCAGCAAGATGTAAAGCAGCTTAATCACTGGCAGAAAAATGTGTGTGAGAATGTAGCTTAATAATTTAGATTTGAATATTTAGGGAGCTATGGACACCAATGATAAGGAAAGGTTACTTCATTCCACAAGATCAGTATACGCATTCTGTTTATCATATCTGGCAGCCACAGCTGAGTTAACACTTGTCTGCTGGACATAATAATAGACCCTGGCAGGCTTTCTCAAGAGGCCTGCACATCATGTACTATGCCTTGATCTTCTGCATAGACATCCCATCACAGAATACCTTTGCAACTTTTATAAAAGTGAGCAGTCAGTTGACTGTAGGTGGCCAGGGGCCACGCTTCAGTCTACCACAGGGGAGGACTGACAACTCATGGGGCCCCCAGGCAATAGGGGATCATGGGGCCCCTGTGTCCTTGCCCAAACTCAAAAAAGCCTATGAAAAAGGTACCAGGGGCATCTCATGAGGCCCCCTACTGACCCCGGGCCCCCGGCAGTGCCCGAGTTTCCAAATGGTCAGTCCGCCCCTTGTCTACCACTAGCAGGCATGAAAGTCTGTGGTTTTAGTGATTCAGTTATAGGAAGCCCTTACCTTTCCAAAAAAGCTCTCATGGGAAAAATAAAAAACTTCATCCTAAAAAATGCATGTAGGCAGGTGGTTACGTATTGAATCTGTTTAGTACTACTAAAAGTTATTGTGTGGTGTTTTAGTTATTAATGGTGAGCTGTGGTGTGCCTTCCCCCTGCCTGTGTCACCTCCTGTGTTCATGGAGGGGATATATGCAGGAAGCGATGGGGATGCAAAGTCTTTTGGGAAGTGTGAGGGCAACCATACATGTGGAGATGTAGTTGTTGCACCAAAAGTGCAGGTTACCCCGCAGTAGGACTCTGATACTGGCCGAAGGACTGAATCTTCGTTATTCACCCATTAGGAAACATGTATATCCCAAAAGGTATGTGCACCACAGCCACAGCATTTTAATAAAGAATGGATAATTCCATGTTTTCTGTGTTCTTATGGAAGCAACTGAGAGCTGTATGTACAAGTGATTTATTTCTGTAAAAAAAAAGTTCTGATTAAAGTGAAAGTTCAGTCAAAATCTAATTAAGGCTAAAACCCATTCTATCTAACCCTCTAAAGAAAATATCCCCATACTTAGCTACTCTGAAGCTGCTTTGGTCCGGTCACATGATCTCTCCAGCGACTTCTGTGTAGTGGAGAGATTGCTGTCAACAGCTGCAAATGCTTAGGAGATGACATCATCTATAGGATAGCTATGGGGCATCCATTGTCAGCTGCCCCTCTTCTACATTGAAGCCACCACTGACATCTGATCATGGGTCCAGACCAGAGCAGATTCAGAACAGGCAAGTATACAGATCTTTTCTTTACAGGATTAGATAGAATAGGCTTAGAATGGGAGTGAGAGTAGGCTTAGTCTTAGTTAGATTCTAACTTATCTTCCACTTTAACCCCTTGAAGCCAGCGCCTCCCGGCCCTTTAAAGGGGTTTGCGACCCCGGGAGGCAGGGTGGGGTTTAGGGTCATGTGATCGCCGTGATTGGGACCTTTCCGTGAAGTGCTGATAAAAGTGCCAGAAGCACGCTCTTGGCCATCTTTTGTCTACATTGGGTAAGCAAATATGCAGCCCCTCGGCACCAAGCTCCAGCCGCCAAGTCGTCGCATATTTGTATACGCTCGGTGCCAACAGGTTAAGTAACAATGCCTGGTCTGCTTTTTAGTGAAGAGAGAGTGTGCTCCTATGAATATGATCTAGGAAATAGTGTCAATCTTCACTTTAACCCTCTGAGTGATGAAGATTACAAGTAGTAAGAAGGAAGAGCAGCCAGTTCAGGAGTGGGTACAGTGGTGGCCTGGTGACAGAGGTTCTGTAGGTAGGGTGGTCTGGCACATGATGCACTCTGCCAAGGGGTTGGGCCCCTATCTTTAGGCCTGCTGTGGAACGGAACCAGTCTTAGGGTTCTGGCCTGGAAGAGAAGAGGTTCCCCTATTTGACTTTGGGCTGACATGGTGACAAAGTGGCAAAGAGTTCAAGGATGGAAATCAGTGCTCATTGCTGTTCCCTTCAAAATGACAGTGCCGGGACAGGTATCACTGGCAGGTTTAAACATCCATATGTTATGTCCAGGGAAGTAATGCTCTCCTATGAGAAACTATCAGCATGGAGTTTCCTGATGTTAACATGCATGCTACACAAGACCAACAGTGTAAATAAATAGAATATTCTTCTGCCACCTTCCAAGCCCCCTCTGAACCTTGTGCCCTTGGCTTAATGTTGTCTTAGGCCAGCTTCCCCAATGCTAGAAATGCCTCGGTGTAAGGGAGAGCAGTTGCAATAGTTTTAGCAGCAGATCAGCCAGCTCTGACCCAAACAGTCACGCTGTTCTTGGTCCTAATCCAAGAGGCCTGCTATCAGGAAGCCATGGCACATGGATGTTAAAATATTTTCTATTTACTTGCATTCACCTCAGATGCTTTAATTGCTTTACACTGTCTGTCTAGCCCTTGCATATTGGAAACTGCCTTTTACATTCCTATCAGGACTGCAGATGTTTTAACTCAGAATTTTGATGAATTAATGATTGACTATAGCAGCATTAGATCGATCAACGAAGATCTAGTCACCAAGAAATCTATTAAATTCCCTACATCTCCCTTCCTCCCAGCTGACATTCATAAATTAGCAATAAAAAATGATGTGTTTTGGGTGACCGGCTCAGATGCCCTGGAAATGTATTTTAACTGATGCATATAATATTGTGTATAAAGGACAAAAGTAAAGGTATTAGGCACAAGGGGGAGAACACTAATTTTATGTGCCTGACAGCTTTCAGATGAGCCTATTACTGCTAATATGAATATCATTATTGAGGTCACCAAGGACAATGCATAGCCAAAAATGAAGGGACATTATTGAACCGTCACTGAAGGTCACAATGTCACACAAATGGTGTAGAAATCTCTTTTTTAATGCAAGCTGTTCTCATCTATAGGTTCCATAGGTTTTTCTAACATCAACATATGAAGCAGTGCTTTCTGAGCTAATTTCTGAGTTAACAACTTACAGATTGGCACCTTTCTTGCAAATGATGCTTCTGTTCTGCTTTCCTTTGACCATTTTAGGTTTATTAGCTATGCTCCATAGCTTGCTGCTTTCATTATGCTTATTAGGACTGCTGTTTGCTACACAATTATCACTTATTATACATTCAATATGATGGCTGGACATCCATGCATGATCCATTCACTTATAAGTGAAACAATCTTTAGACAGATCAATAAATGAGTACATTTGTCTTGGTTGACCACATACACAGAGCATTTAAAGTGCACATGTACTCACTATCAACTTTATAAACTGATGAAACAAAGACACATTAAGCTTAGTACACACTAAGACAGTGGTACTCAACCTTCCTAATGCCGCGACCCTTTAATACAGTTCCTCATGTTGTGGTGGCCCCCAACCATAAAATTATTTATCCAGTAATTATAATTCATGAGTGTCGTTTTACCTCCAATACTGCTGCTTTCAACACAGTAGCTGCTTTTAACAGAGTAGCTGCTTTCAACACAGCAGCTGCTTTCTACACAGTAGCTGCTCTTTACACATCGGAAATATGTGTTTTCCCGATGGTCTTAGGCGACCCCTGTGAAAGGGTTGTTCGACCCCCAAAGGGGTCGCGACCCACAGGTTAAGAACCACTGGACTAAGAGAAAAATTTGACAAACGATTGTCTGATTTTCCGCAAAACGCAC